GACTAATAATTGTCTGTTCTTTTATTTTTAAAAACTTGTTTTTATTGTTGCAATAATCTCTTCATTCACTCTTTCTTCAAAATACCACACGCTAAATTGACCAACTATGGCATTCCCACCAGACTAATATGGTTAAAACTGGTCAACATGTGACACAATCACCTAGTCAACATGTGACACAATCACCTGGTCATTATGTAACACAATCACCTGGTCAACATGTGACACAATCACCTGGTCAACATGTGACACAACATCTTGTCAACATGTGACACAATCACCTGGTCAACATGTGACAGAACACCTGGTCAACATGTGGCACAATCACCTGGTCAACATGTGACACAATCACCTGATCAACATGTGGCACAATAACCGTGTCAACATTGACACAATCACTTGGTCAACATGTGATAGAATCACTTAGACAACATATGATACAATCACATAGACAACATATGATACAATCACTTGGCTAATAAAGGGAAAAACTCACCTGTCACCTGGCTACACCTATGGCAAACTCACCTGGCCAACATATCTTCCTTTAAAGCCACAACCGACATTCCTGGCACACGATTGTTTCTAGGCGTAGTCACACCTGCTGGCTTTGGGAGTTCAATACGATCACGAGGTTTCACCGTTTCATCCCTCGACAACCTGTTACGCAGTAGATATAAGGAACAGTTAACTAGCAAATGTATGATAGCTCAGTATTATCATATTACAATGAAGTTCAGACTGTGCATATCTCCTTCATCTAATAGTCCATGCTTCGAGGCGTTGGTTGTCATATCTGTCCAAAAGCTCCTGTTGTGTGTACTTTTAATCGATCCTAACAGATAATGTTACATGACATGATATCAGACTGTAGAGCCTGTTCTCTTTCGGACTCCCTTTGTTACTTGTCCAGTCCAATTTTCCCGCAGTCATGATGTAATCCAGTTTTCTCCTTTTCGTGTCTGTTGTCGAAATGTTACAAGGGACATACAGTCCAGCAGTAGTTAGACATTAGGAAGCCTAACAATGATTAATTCATTGAGGAAAAACAGCTCATTCTTAATAAGGTGAACAGATTAGGGTCTTCTTCTAGACATCCTTAAAAATGTAGTCTCTTATGTCCATCACACTTGAAATTTGAACGTATAGGACGAACAACCCAATGACACCTGCATGCTTGTATTCGTGTTCGGTTTCATTGGACTCACCCCTGCTGCCATCCAGCTAGGGTCATTGAGCCTCTGATCTTCATGGCAAACTCTTCACTTTGACACCAGAACCAGTCACTTGGATATACCGTCTCATAAAGCATTTTGTCTTTAGGTTAAAAATGATTGGGATATCCACTCCGACCTGCTACCTAAACGCTTACCCTATCCTCATGAGATTGAAAGATCTCAACCTAGAGGCTAGATACACAAGGCAGATCCCAGATAAACAAGGCAGATCCCAAATAAACAAGGCAGATCCCAAATAAACAAGGCAGATCCCAGATAAACAAGACAGATCTCAGATAAACAAGGCAGATCCCAGATAAACAATGTAGATCCCAGATAAATAAGGCAGATCCCAGATAAACAAGACAGATCTCAGATAAACAAGGCAGATCCCAAAAAACAAGGCAGATCCCAAATAAACAAGACAGATCCCAGATAAACAAGACAGATCTCAGATAAACAAGGCAGATTCCAGATAAACAATGTAGATCCCAGATAAACAAGGCAGATCCCAGATAAACAAGGCAAATCCCAGATAAACAAGACAGATCCCAGATAAACAAGGCAGATCCCAGATAAATAAGTCAGATCCCAGATAAACAAGGCAGATCCCAGATAAATAAGTCAGATCCCAGATAAATATGGCAGACCCCAGATAAACAAGGCAGATTCCATATAAATAAGGCAGATCCCATATAAATAAGGCAGATCCTATATAAATAAGGCAGATCCCAGATAAACAAGGCAGATCTCATATAAACAAGGCAGATCCCAGATAAACAAGACAGATTCCAGATAAACAAGGCAGACCCCAGATAGATAAGGCAGATCCCAGATAAACAAGGCAGATACCAGATAAACAAGGCAGATCCCATATAAACAAGGCAGATCCCAGACAAACAAGGCAGATCTCAGATAAACAAGGCAGATCCCAGATAAACAAGGCAGATCTCAGATAAACAAGGCAGATCCCAGATAAACAAGGCCGATCCCAGATAAACAAGGCAGATCTAAGATACCCTCTTAACTTCTAAAGTGAATAATTAGAGCACACGAAACGGCGTCACCAGCCAGGTGCAACTGCAGTCCTATGCGACAAGCACCAGTGGTTAAATGGGCATCAATTCGCGCTTTTATAGTTGACCATTGCTGCCAGCTAGGCCTAGTCTAAAATGGATGCCGTGATAAGTCAGTGGAGGTAAAGACGACCGGTATCATGTTGCCCACATCACCTACTGGGCTCATAAGCCATATGGGCCACTCGCCTGATGGTAGGGTAAGGAACCCTCGGCCTTTTGGACATATAGGGCCAGACCTATGTTGTATAGGCCAGGTACTCGGGGTGTGAGAGTGGTCAACATCATGCTGGCCGCCTTTACCTGCAGGATTTTACCTGGTACCCGTTTAAGGCTGGGTCGACCTGGCAGACAAAGTCATTTCTAGAAAAATGTTCGGCTCCGTCACGACTTTAACCCACCACCTTCGGATCGGCAGGCGAACGTCTAGCCGCTACATCGCAACGGATGCCATAGGCCTGATAAAGGTTCTCTAAAGAAACTCACAGCTCACCTTGAGCCAGCAACCGCTGAAAGGGGCATAATTTCAATGGATCTACTGTCTGAAAATCTTGAGTAATCGGCCGCTTTCAATGAGGTTGACCTAGTAAGAAAACACAAAATTACGTACAGTTCATATTTATAAGCTAAACACATTTCTATATAGAGCAGATGCTGGTACATTATGGCTGAGTAGTTGAAGAGGTTACTGACCCCTTGAAACTGCATTACATCACAGCAAATCCAGCACCGGAGCGAGCCCTGGCTCGGCTGCCGGTCGTGTTATAAACTGCGACCCTAAGAAGCATAATTGACAAAAGATAGACGAAAAAGATGAATTGTTACTGGCTCGCCAAGTTGGTGTGTATGTTTTTAAAATAAATCTGTTCCTTGAGCTGACCAAGTAGTAGAACAGAAAAACATACGTTCTATGGAAGCAGAAAGAAAGAAACAACAATCCAAATATCAACATGCAAATACAACGATAACCAAAACAGTGATGACCAGAAAGTGATGTCACTAAACCATAATCCTGCTTGTGAAACACGGTGTTTGCCGACAAAGATATTAAGAGACAGTGTCTCTCGGCGGACTTTGATAAAATATAAAGCCACGACAGTTCTTTATCTTTAAACACACTTGATTACGAATTTGTAGAAGGGCTTCAGTTGTAGTAAGGCATTATAAGCTTTGATTATGCCACAGAAATACCATGTTACAAGGAAAGCTAGCCGTTATGTTTGTCAAGAAATTTTTTTCTTTATTACCAGCAACCAGTTTGAAAATTCTAAATTCAGCCCGTTTATAAAACGAAAAGATCCCCCATCTCTGATTTACAGCACAAAACGCATCGAGTTTAACGGTACTACAGTGGCTAGAACGACCCTTTGCCAGACCTGTGGTCATGTAGGAGGGTCAAAACTAATATTAGCCCCCTTTAAGATTGCAGTCCGTTAGAGGTCCCCTGCAGAAATGCACATCTCAAGGATGAGAATGCTACGAGTAGCAATCTCAGTAAGCTACGTTCAGCTGTAAGGTTTTCTTGGGGACCTTCCGTGGTTACCAAGTAGCCAGACGTCCGGACCCGGTAGTGATGAATATGTAGGCGTTCTCGGTTGTGAAGTGATTTTATTCAGGCCTTGTTTGTGTGTGGTGGGTACTGTTGCGGCTATGTGGCATGCTGGTTGACGGGGTGTCCTTACGTGCTACGTGAGGTGCTGTGGTAGCTCCGTATGTGTTGGCCAGATAGGAGTTGTGATGGGGAGGTATCTTAAAGCTGGTCGTCAAAAGGGCGGAATCACTTAGTTGATGCGGATTGACGTGGTTAGCGGGAGGTTAAACAGTGTACTGCAATGCGTGAGTGGGTAGCAGACTGGAGGTCTGGATTCTTTTCCCTAAATAGTGAATCAACCTTGGGTCATCAGGTGGCGGGGTCTCTTAGAGGGAAAACCGTCAGAAGACTGCCACTGCAGATTATAAAGCTGTATCTGCGTGATCGCGTGTCAGTTGCCCCTAGCAGCCATATTGTGCATAGTTCACAGAATGCTTTGTCCATGTTCTGAAAACTGCCGATGTTGTAGTACTAGGCAAGAGTTGTACACTGACAGTGCGGCACTGATCACCAATTCATCTTCGTCGCAATGTGTGATCAAGAGACTGATAGCACTGAAAGATCATACTTGGTGATGTGTATTATATGACAATATTTGTAGACACTGTTTGTGGTTACAATAGGACATATAAACTGTGCGAGATATTTTGTGGTTGTTAACTTGTTACTCCCGTCTTAATTATTCTGGTGTCCCCTGTTGAGCTGGACGAAATTTACTAAAGTAGTAATCACCATCAACATGTGCCGTGCCAATGAGAGTGGGTGGTTGGTTCGAAGCTTGTGTGCATGTGTGGAGGACTGACAATATATAAATAATCAGCTAGATACTTAGCAAGTGTGCCGTATAACCCCCGACCTTGTGCTTCAATGGGGATGGTATCATGCATCTAATATTTCTCTATCGGTGAATATGTGTTATTCCCATTACCTTACAATCACTGAAATATTATAGGTGTTTTTGTGTGTTTCTTTGTGTCTGTATGTTTCGCACTCTCTCTCTCTCTCTCTCTCTCTCTCGCTCTCTCTCTCTCTCTCTCTCTCTCGCTCTCTCTCTCTTGCTCACTCGCAAGTGTGTGTGTGTGTGTGTGTGTATTTGTCTGTGTATTTATGTGTATGCGTGTGTGAGCTTATGCGTGAGTGTATGCATGTGTGCACAATGTCGTTCATTTTGTTGTGTAGTAGATAAGATATAACAACGAGTGCTCGACATATTTCAAGCTGTTCGCCTCCGCACACGCAGACACATGAGCAACCACACTTACTTGTTGGTGGTGTAGTCTGCCAGGTTAAAGTGGCTGCGTGTCTCCTCGAAAGGCAGAGGGTCGGATATTCTCGCTGGAACATTCGGCCTAATGGCCTGGTGGAGAGGAGTTTGATTCCTGCAGTCCAGGACAGCAACATCAGTAGAACTGTGACCATCTGGAGTGAAAACATGACAACCAATTGGAGTAAACCGTCAGGACCTGGGCTGTGACAGATCACCGAATAGGCGGATAACAGAAATATCTTCATACATATGTACAGTCGCGTGCTGCGGGAATGGGAAAAAAATTAAAACCAGTTCCTTTAAAACTAAATCATCATCATTATATGCCCTGCCAACTGGCATAGGCGCCCATGTGTCTCCACAGATCACCATTCCTGGTTGCATGGAACAGCTCACTTGATGTTATCCCTCTATGCCATCGTTTCAGCCCATCCAGCATCTTTTCTCTTGGTCTGCCTCTACCCGTTTTTCTACTGATCTATTTGTCATGATGTTCTCCAATGTCTTTCTCCTCTTTATGTGGCCAAAGAACAGTGTTTGTCTCTTTCCCAACTAAAAAATGCATGCAAATTGTAATTATTTTAAAAATACGATGAATATGGAGTATATATATATAAGAGCAAAAATGCACAGAAATATATTGTAGTTCTAAAAATCTACGTTAATTAAAATATTCTGTCGTCTCCTCTGTGTCTTTGGAGCTCAAGCTTTCTGTGTGGCACACATAAAAAAAAAAAAAAAAAACTGGGACAATCCCGATAAAATGCGGGTCGTTTGGTCACGCTACTAAACTCACAACAGTACAAAAGTTGTCCATTGTGATACCAATTTGTTTCACGCCTTTTTGATTCAACACTTTTTAAATAACTGGTCTCTAACTTTATTTGTACTTACCTGTATCTTGTTGGATTAAAAAGTTGTTTCCTTGTCTGTGGCGTCATCTACCTGCATTATGTTGTCCAGCTGCTCTGGCCCAACCTGTTCTTTACGCGACCGGTCTGGAAAAACATATATTAACAGGCAGGAGTGAGAAAACAACGGACGCATAATCTTCTTCTTCTTTCGTTCGTTCGCTTGAAATAGATTATCCGTATCTGCAAGTTTGTCTCTAGTATGAACTGACGTATAATGATCATGATAAAAATAAACATTTAGTTAAGTTAAGTTGAGTCAAGAATTGACATCACAGCACTCGGGGCATTCCCATGCATGCTCCGTTCTCATCTTCAGCAGCCAGTGCAGAGTTTCAATACGGATGGTACTGGTCACAATCTGGTTTAAAGTCCGTCTTGCTTTATTCTGTGTGTAGTTAGCCGACCAGACCCTCTGATTACAACCAGGTGCCTCATTCTCTCCAGGCCATAATAATCTGCCCTCTCTACTGATTTCGTTGCTTGTTCCAAAAGGGCTTTGACCACACCTGTCTTGTCATGTATTAATTCACCGCCCAGTGGTGCGGATCCAGCCAATATGTCTCTCTGTTCATTACCCACCATGCCGCCATGGCCTGGAGAAAAGATCCAAAGTATGCTCACTACCCGTGACCTTCCCAGTGAAGATTGCCACTCTGCTCGAAGCATCCCTGTCTTCACCTTTTTCAGCATGCTTTCAGAGTCTGTTTACAATTACGACTTGTGTATGTATCTTGTTCTCTAGCCACCGGAGAGCTGCAGTTACCGCCTCCGTCACCATTCTCAAGCTAGTTGTGGTGTCTATGCTAAAAAAAAAAAAAATTGAATACTGATTATGTGAATGTCCACCTAAAAGTTTGAATGTCAAAGTATTATAAACTTTTTACAAACATTTAATACTCATTATGTGAATATCAGGAAGTTGCCGTAGCGTAGCAGCTAGACGCTCGCGTGTGGATCGTAATGTCGTGGGTTCGCTCCCTTGCGGAGACGGACCTTTTCTCAAAAAAGAACTTAACTTTCAGGTCGACCCAGCCTTGAGTGGGTACCGGGTGCAGTCCCGAACAAATCACCCATCTTGTGACAATTGTCTTTAAAAATGTAGGTCTAGCCCTATATGTCCCATACGCCCAAGGGCGTGGAAAAGGGACCTTTACGTTACCTTTGATGTGAATATCGACACATGTGTTAACTTGCCAAAGACCTATTGTCTAGAACATGTAATGTCAATGACATCTTTGAGAGCCCATGCCGTGTCGTCTTGATCTTCATGTATGTTGACAAGCTTCTGGTTCTATCAATCATATCTGACTCAGATGTTCTTTAATGCCATGATACCAAAATGCCCAGCATCTTTACTGTTGGTCCCACCTGACGCTGTGTTGCCTCCACGTACGTCAGTGTTCTCATTCTCAACGCCTCACTAAACACACAAAGATTGTCTGCTTATGATGCGAGTAATTTGATCATACAAAAACAAATTCTGTTACATTTTTAGTCAATTTAAGAATAATTAAACAAGGACGTTCAGAAAGTATTGCATCATATCGGTTTTTCTCTGGAGCTGTTTATTTAAAAAAAAAAAGGCATTCGTTTTACCAGTAATACATATGGTTATATCGTGTAAATATTTGCATTATTTAGCTTTATCCTCAACATCGTGTACGGCTTTATGCCAGCGCAGAATAAGTCCATGTATTCCTCCTGGTCTGTACCAGACTTTGTCTTGATCAGGTCACCATTTCTCCGCTGCATGAACCACTGCCTCATCATCTTCAAACCAGCGAGTGCATCGTGAGCCAAATTGTGACTTTGGGGTGGATGGGATGGTACCGTCCAGCACCGTTTGGTAACTATTTGCCAGACTTCTGTGAGGAGAAACAGGTTGTAATGGAGAAGCAGGTCTGATGGATTTTTCAGCGAAAACGTTGACTCAGTTTTCTAATGTAAGCTACGATTTGATTGTCTCTACACTTGGCACACAATCAAGGATCGCACCTTCCATGTTTGAAAAAACAGTGTTTACGACTTTCATGCTGAAGGAGTTTTCTTGAATTTCTTTCTTCATGGTGACCGAGGGCTATGCTACACTATTGACTGTCTTGTTTGTCTCATGTTTAAAAGATGTGACAAGGTTTCATCGCATTTAACGATCATTGCCAAAAAGTGCTCTCTATCAGGATTTCAGCGCCTCCACAATTCAGAAGAAAGTGCTTTTCTTTGCAATCGGCAGTAATTTGTTAAACTTCAAAGAACCCATCTTGCACAAACTTTAGAAGACCGGAAATTTTTATAATTTCATGTGCACAACCATTATTGATTGACAGCTTTAGGACCAGTTGCTGAGTATTCTTTCAGCGCATTGCAAGATTTCTGCCTTTGTGACTGTTACAGGTCATTCACAGCGTTGCTGATCAAATGGTTCCGTGCCTCCACTTCCTGATTCTTTCTTTTTTTGATCCTAGCGACGGACTGTACTCCTGCCGACTTCGAAACGTCCATATACATCACATAAATGTATGCAAATGTTCATAACAGTTTCTTTCTCTGAAATGCGAAATTATATCACAGTTGCTTGCTGGTGTTGCTAACCATTACAGCCGTATTCTTTGGCCAGTTTGCTACTCACGCTTGGCATATGCTATATTTGAAGTGTGCAAAATGTCATGCTTTGGTTCTCCTTAAAACTACGGCCACTTATTATGGAGTACGTCGAAGTTTACTACCCTGGCCGTATTGCAATTACGGAGTTGAAAAGAGGGAACGACCAAATGACGTAATTACTGAGTGTTGGCGAAAGACAGCGTGAACCAGTGACGTTATTACTGTGTGTTGGCGACAGATGCACTGCTGTCATAATAGGGTTAGGATTAGGGTTAGTGTTAGGGTTAGGGTTAGGGTTATGGTTAGGGTTTGGATTAGGGTTAGGGTATTTTTACTCCTTAAAACTACAGCCACTCCTAACCCTACCCCTAACCCTAACCCTAACCCTACCCCTAACCCTAACCCTAACCATAACCCAAACCCTAACCCTATTATGACAGCAGTGCATCTATCGCCAAAACACAGTAATTACGTCATTTGTTTCGTTCCCTCTTTTCCACCCCGTAATTGCAATGCGGCCAGGGGACTAAACTCTCGCGTACTCCATAAGTGGCCGTAGTTTTAAGGAGAACCCACATTTTTTTTCTTCTGTTGTCAGGGGGAAAAATAACATCCTAACCTGAACAGTGCGTGGCGACAATACTAGCCATGCTGCCCTAAATCCCAAGGCTCACACTGCGTAGATGGCAAATAGGAAAGCAACAGCAGTTTTTAAATATAACATTTAGCCAAACGATCGAGACTCAAGTGATGTCGAACTATAACAACAGCAACTCAACATTAACAGCACCAATAAAAGCAGTAACAAAAATCTTACTTTACGACCAGTTTCATGAAAACTTGCAGACAAGAAATGCAGCATGACGGAGTCGAACAGTTTGATGGGCAGCCCCGTAACGAAGAAAATGCCAGCGAGTGTACAGAGAATCAAATGACTGTTAATGACAATGACGAGGAGGAAGATGATAGGAAATTGTTTGTTGGTGGACTGAGCTGGGAGACAACTACAAAGGATCTTCGAGAACACTTTGAGAAATATGGAGAGGTCACAAACTGCACTCTGAAAACAGATCTGGAGACAAAGAAGTCGCGAGGTTTTGGGTTTGTTGTGTTTGCCACAAGAGAAGCTGTTGAAAAGGTTTTGGCTGAAAATGAGCACAGATTACATGGGAGAACGATAGATCCAAAACAGGCTAATCCTAGACAAGTCAACAAGAAGATATTTGTTGGCAGACTGGACCCTTCAATTACAGAAGAGGAGGTTAAAGCTTACTTTGAAACATTCGGCCCGGTCAAAAAGTTGGAGCTTCCTTACGATAAAACCAAAGAGCAGAGACGTGCTTTTGGCTTCATTGAGTTCAAAAAGCTGGCAGGCTTAAAAAATGCTTAGAGCAGACAAGTCATAAAATAGGCACACATGAGGTTGAGGTAAAAAAGGCTACACCTCCAGGAGGTGCCACTGTTAGAGGTGGTCCAGGAGGACGAGGCTTTTCATCTGGTGGAAGAGGTGATCGGGGTGGCAGAGGTGGCTACCAAGGGAGCTATGGTTATAACCAAGGATATGGAGGCTACGGTGGATATGGTGGTTATGGCTATGTTCAGGGTTACGGCTAGGGTGGATATGGTGGTTATGGCTAGGATCAGCGTTACGGCTACGGTGGATATTGTGGTTATGGCTAGGATCAGCGTTAAGCTACCGTGGACAGCGTTACGTTTTGGATATGGTGGGAATACTGTGGTAGTGGATTGGAGGTTATGCCTGGAAACGTATCGATCCAGTTACTCGGAATGTACGATGACTGGGGATACGGAAAGAAGGCGGCCACTAAATGTCAGGTCGTCAGGAGGACATTAATTGTAAAGGATTGGACTTTTATCGCTGATTTTATTGTCACAGTACCAATTAAAAAGTCAAAAAAAAAAAAAATATCAGTACACAGAAGACAGCGAAACGAGACAACTAAATTTAACTGACTTGTCTTGACGGCGCCATTGCACCCTCTCTGCAATGTACCTGCCAAGGAAGTGGGGAGAGACTTGGCAATCGCAGGGGTTGCCCTTCTGTCTGTACTGACCATCCGCTGCCACTTGTGTCCATGTGAAAGTCTGTCCAAGCACTGCTGATTTGACTGACCGGTCGATGCCTGCCGTCCTTTAGACCTTCGTTTCCTGAATTATTAAAAATAATATTCTGTTTTCCTTGTAACTGACTTAGTAGGGTATGATACTTAGTCAAATAATTTAAATAATTAATAATTAATTAAGTAATTAATTATTCATAACATCAGTCAAGAAATGACAACCTTGCTCTCAGGATATTCCCGCACGAGCTCCTTCTCCCGCCTCAGTAACCAATGAAGGGTCGATATGCTAACAGTACCAGTTGCAACCTGATTGAAAATCCGCCTACTTTTCCTCCTAAATGTTGAACATCTTCCAGATTCTTTGCTCGCCTCGCGCTGAATTAACTTGTCAAGTCTGGATTCTCCGTCTGTTCCGTTGCACAGTCAACTTGATCACAGAGAGCTCTCACCACTTTTCCTTTATCATAACGTAGCCAACCACCCAAAGGGAAAGGAGCAGCCAATCTATCCAGCTGCTCATTGCCCAGCACACCCGATATCCTGCACAGAAAATCCACCAGATGGACCTGATCAGAGTCTTATCAAACGATTCATGCCACACAACGCGTAAGACATTAGCTGCATGTTGACTGTATCAACCCCGAGTGTTAACAAAACAATGTTTTCGCAAACTGAATCTAAGGAATTTCCCAATGTATTGCCAGGCACATTTCGCTGTATCTTCGCCTGGCGACTTTATAAAGAGTTATATTAGTCAGTGTAAATGGCTTTGGCGTTGCCAACGCTCTGCGTAACGCCAAGGTGCCCGGTTCGATCCCAGCTGCAGACCTTGTGCCTTGCGTTGGTTTCGACAGTGGTATCGAGAAGGCGACTGTCCAAAAAGTAAGGTAAACTACTGGACGTAAATTTTTTAGCCCGGAGAAAATCCAACAGCCCAAAAATGCTGGGGCTGGCTTTGCAACGTCCTGTAAAGGATACACAACTAATTTTTTTTCTTTCAATATCAAAATATAATTTAGCATAAAAACTGAATAATTTCCACCGAAATAAAAAAAAAATGTCCTCTCGAAATGTTTCTTAGTCTACTCGCCTAAAGTTCAAGATAGTCACATGAGTTACCAGGGTAATTTATAATGAATTCTTATGTTTACATAAGAGTTGGATTGGAGAGGTGGTGGTGGTGATTGGGGGGGGGGGGTGTTAATTGTATTTTTTTAAGCTTCGTCTATTTTCTGCATTCGCCTGTTTGGTGGGTGACATATGACACAGAAATGACTGTACGTATCCTTTATAAGTGTGGTGATCCGTGAGGTGTGAAAGCCAGTGAAGTGGGAATGGCTATGTTATATAGATTTGAGGCATGTATTTGACGCTGAGAGTGCTTTTCGTGATAAAATGTAATAGACACGACTAACTTTGGAGATCGTGGAATAGGGTCTCTTTTACATAGACAAAGTAGACTAAGGACTGTTATCAGATCTTCTAATGGAATGACAGTAAACTGACCACTGCTGCCCCTTTGGGTGTGTCTCTTGTTGCTGGTCATGGAAGTACAGTCCTCCTCCTTGAGCCTCTTGTGTTTGCGTCCTTTGAGATATGGCGACACTTGTGGATGCAGTAGATAGAGCTGCAGCCGCCGTAGATAAGGATCAGGATTGGTAAGACGCAGTACATGGCCATGTTGTTTTTGTCTGAATAGAACTCCTGTAGAGATTGGAAGAGACAACTATAATGGGAGCCATCAAGATATCAAAATTACATGGGACTGACTTCACAGATTTGGGTCAGGCATGGTAACCAGAGGGCAACATAGCAACCGATTAACATTATTGTATAGCAGGTCCTCTGTAGCACGTCGTTGCCATTACAACCAGCCTGACAGAAACTCGGTCTCTCGTTACATCTTTCTCCGAGCGCATTTTCCTATCTCACCTATATCATGTGTCGGCTATGTGGCTAAGTCGATGCGAACGCTTCGTAATGTCGGGATGCCGGGTTCGATCCCAGCTGCGGGCCGTGCGCCTTGAGTTGGTTTCGACAGTGATATCAAGAAAGCCTACCGTCCAGAAAGCAATGTCAAAATACTGAACGTAAATTTGCCTTAAAAAACGACACAACAGCCAGGAGCTCTTGGGGTAAAGGATACGCAACTAAACTCCTCCTCCTATATCATGTGCCCATCTTCGTGCTAGTCGGCCCCTAACCCTCTTTCCTTCTACCATGCCTTTTGATATCATTTCTGCCCCCAATCCTCCGTGGCTCTTGATATGGCCAAAATAGTTCAGCTTCCGAGACAAGATGATGTTTACTAGCCAGTCTTTCTTCATGTTAGGATCTTTTAAAATGTCGGTATTTCGTGTCTTCTTGGTCCATGGCATTCCGAGACGCTTTGACCGATTAAGATGAAACAATAGTTCAAGAAGACCAAGGAACTAAACTGTAGGTGGCGATGTCCCTACAGGCCTTTCGGCTGGTGTTAACATTCTTCAGAGGATGTGTCGTATGACTGTCTCCTGTTCGTCACCATCATCTTCAGGTGACTTGCCGATTGGCAGGGAGTTCTCATTCCTCTCCACAGCTTGCGATTCCCAACAGCGTGTACCAGTTCGTGTACTGATACGTTTCCACGCCCTTACAAAAGGCTGTCGGAAATCTTGGCACACCACTGTCCCCACAAATCTTTCAAGTTTCTGTATTTTAATGCGGCCTATATCTTTGATTAGAACATGAAAACACAGACGCCCTAGAGGAAAGGAGAAACACAGAAGCTCCGCTGAAAGATCACAAGTACCTCTACAAACTAGCCAGAAAAAAACTAAACCGGTGTTAATTCCGGTGGTATTTAGATCCAACCATAAGTTCATTTATGATCCTCTTGTGCCATTATGTGTCACACAGGGCTCACAGTTTGTACACATATTCAGATATATCCTATGTAATCACTTCGATATCCTGGAATAAATCCATTCCAGTAGCTTTGGCTTCTCTCAATAACATTCAACTTAGGGGTTCTCTGGGGTACCATCATTTCCCCAATCCCTCTATGTCCTATTTCCATGCCTGTTGTGTGTTTCTCAGAATATGTCCAAAGTAGCACCATCTTTTCTGTCTGACACCTATTGTTACCAATGGTTGCCCAAACATTTGTCTTATTCCTTCACGCCCTTTGAATGCAACCCATCTTATGTTCAGTTTTTTTCCCCAGGGATGTCTTTTGGAATGCATTTAGCTGTCGTTCCACATCCTTAGCTTATGTTAACACTTAAATAACATTAGAACTGGAAATGCGCAACTTGGTTCTCAAACAGTATACTTTAGAGTTCCGTGTTTTGTTCAAGTTTATTTAGGCGGCTAATACCGTCTCAGTGTGGGCCATAATTTGTTTGTTCCTGTTTCCTTGACAACTTTCATTATTTGTTTCTGTAGTGTTACATTTTATTGATTTGTTATTGATGTCTTTAATTTATTTGCATTTTAAAGACAATTCATTGTTGTCCAGCTTAATTATGCTATTTTTACTAAATGATTTATTAGATTCTGCTACATACTCTGTTGTATATTACAAACTATAATCAATTATAATTCTCTCAACTACCAATAGTAGGCATAAAAAATACAGTCACACAAAAAAAACAAACACCGGCTATCTTTTGTTTCCCACACTCCAGTTTCAATGGCTTACACGGTAGCCCATCGATTATTGATCAGTCTGAAAGTTGATGATCAGATCAATTGAGTATCGATCGTTTAAATCCGTTGGGAACATTCATTATTTCTCCATTAATTTTACATCAGGTGAAATGTCCATTGTTAGTTCAAAGAAGTGTGGGCAGTGGATTTGTTTTCTAAATTAAGTAAAAATAAAGTACATCTTTCACGCTATTGGCGTATTAGGCTTATGTTGGTACAAGTAAAGTAAAGATAAAGTACATCTTACACGCTATTGGCGTATTGGGCTTATGATGGTACAAGTAAAGTAAAGATACAGTACATCTTACACGCTATTGGCGTATTAGGCTTATGTTGGTACAAGTAAAGTAAATATAAAGTACATCTTACACATTATTGGCGTATTGGGCATAAAGAAAAGTAAAGTTCCCTTTCGGCGCATCGGGCATGGGCAGAGCGTCCCATATTTTTACAGACCATCAGCCCTCTGTGGGTAATGTGGTCAGCATTACGTCGGCTGTCTTTACTTTCCCAGGACAGCCCATCCTGGTACCCATTTTAGGCTGGGTCGACCTGCGACGTCCCATACCACGACAAAAATCCACGCAGCCTGCAGAGCCTGCAGTGGGTTTCGATCGCGGTATGCTGGCTTACGAGTCGAACTCGCAAGGTCTTAGCCACGGACGCCGCATATTGGGTATATGTTGGTACAAGAAAAGTAAAAAGAAAGTACATCTTTCACGCAATTGGCGTATTAGGCTTATGTTGGTACAAGTAAAGTAAATATAAAGTACATCTTACACGTTTTTGGCGTATTGGGCATATGGTGGTACAAGTAAAGTAAAGGGCATTGTCAACCCTTTCAGGCGTATTGGGCACATGGGGCTAGACCTATGTTTTATAGACTCATCGTCACTCGACTTGTGATGTGGTCGGCACAACGCCGGACGCCTTTGCTTCACATGACTATATCTGGTCCCCATTCAAGGCTGATTCTACCTGGAAGCCAAGGTCATTTTTGAAAGAGTCCTCCGGTTCCTACAGGACACGAACCCAAGACCTTCCGATCAGCAGGCGGGTGTCTGGCCACTACACCACGGCGGCTTCCAAATGGTGCAATACCCATCTCTTACAGACAGATCGGAATCGACGAGATTTTATGGTAACATCCCACGGGCCGCCTTTACCTTCCATGGCGTTTTCTGGTGTCTATTTTAAACAGGGTGGACCAATGTCAATATCATTGAATTCCAAGACTTTCTGGCCGGCGCCCGAGCTTCTGCTACGGATGCTCACGTTTTCTTGGCGTTTCTCTCAGTTTTCTTCAGAAATATTTGTAGTAGTAGTAGTAGCAGCAGCAGCAGCAGCAGCAGCAGCAGCGGTAGCAGTGGCAGTGGTAGTAGTAGTATTACTAGTAGAAGCGGCGAGTCAAACAATAAAAAAATTTTAAAAAAGGTACAAATCCGTGTAACTCCCATCAACCGTGTGTGTGTGTATATATATATATAAATATATATATATATATATATGTGTGTGCTTGTGTGTGTGTGTGTAGCACCGCTATACTCGGGCACTATAAAACACTAAAGTTAACTGTGGTGTACAGGGGAGAGGGGCTGATTATGTAACTTTGGTTAGGTTTACGTTAGTCTCTCCAAACAGAGTTGGTCACTTTTCATTCACAAGTTTATTGAGCTGGTCGAATTTCCTTATGGTTACGTGTGTATGTTGAAAGCGCTGGCGTGCTGAAATATACAACACGCGATATTTACGGCATGGCGAAATACCCTCGTAGCCTTGTGCCAAGGTGACAAGTTCAAAAACTACCAATGAGAAGTGAGCTAGTGTGTATATGGGAGGGGCGTGTGGAGATCACTGTTACTTTTACCGTAACTTAAAAAAGCTCACTTATTTTTGGAGAAAGCCACGTCATAGCTAAACGAACCTCAATTTTCTGCCATACACTTTTGCTTCCAGTCGTGCTATTGGTCGACCTCCGATCACGTGATAGTGGAGAACCAATCTCTGAGCTGTCATAATCTGCGTCAAGATCCACCCAAGGGAACTGCTGGTATAGCTGAGAGTGACCTCCGGCCAGTCTTCGGTCATTTTTCGATTGGAGCACTACTGCAAGATTTCTGCCTGTAAAGTAGATGTGAAGTTTTGAGGAAGTAAGAGTACTCCAGTGTATTGCGACATCTGAGAATACTACAGCGTACAATGTATTACAATACTGCAAAGTGAATTGTGTTACAATACTGCAAAGTACAATGTTAAATCATCCTATAACGTACATTGTAATACACTAACTACTACAGGGATCAATGCATTACAATCCTACAACGTACATTGTAATACACTACTACAGCGAACAATATATTACAATACTACAACGAACATTGTAATACAATACTACAGCGTACAATGTATTACATTACTACAATATACTAAATATTGCAACGTAATAGAGCGTACTAGAGAGTAAAATGTATTACAATGTGACAACATGTACTACAAGGTACAGTGTATTACAATACTACAACGTTCATTGTAACACTGTAATACAGTGTATTGTTCACGAGCAGTAAGCTCTGGCAGGAAGTCGCGGTTGTTCACGAGCTTAAACTAAGGCGGAAAGTTCTGGTTGTTCACCAGCTTAAGCTCCGGCGGGAAGTTCTGGTTGTTCATCAGCTTAAGCTCTGGCGGGAAGTCTAGGTTGTTCACCAGCTTAAGCTCCGGCGGAAAGTCCTGTTTTTTTTCACCCATGTGGACACTGGCTTTGTGCCAGGGCCTGAGTTTTTGTGTGTGTGTGTGTGTGTGTGCATCCGTTTTGGCTTTTTTGTGTGCAGCTAATTGTTCCTTGCTTGGGCAGATGATGAATCCCGATTTCAAAGGAAGTCCCCAATTAGTTGACTTACACGACATGCTTGTCGGGGAGGCAGTGGGTCTATTCTTGTTTGCCCAATAATGGGCCCCTAAACTTACGCAGGGAGACAACGGACTCTAAACTGGGTGCCAAGGAATTAAAGGCTGCGCACTACCTGTCTAATAGGATTTTTTACTTTTGTTCCCTTCAAAATATCAGACGCGTTATGGTGACAGAGAGGATTAATGATATGGGACATAACGGTCGACATCATCATGTAGCAGGTCCTTTGCAGAACGTCGCTCTCATCACAGTCTGTCTGAAAGAAACTCGGTCTCTCGCCAGTTCTCCCGCCTCATGAACTTTCACACTCAAGGAGTCACTGATATATTGCTCCCATCTTCGTGTCCGTCGGCCCCTGCCCCTCCTTTCTAGTATCATGCTTTATGCTATAATTTTTTCCCAATCCGTCGTCTCGCTTGATATGACCAAAATAACGGTCGACAATGAGTGGAAATGCTAAAAAGGTTAGCGGCATGGCGTGCAAGAGAATAATTAAGTCTAAATAATTTGTATACTTTGACTAGCGTATCAATATAAGTTTAAATAACTCAGGGAATCGCCGTGGCGTAGCGGCTAGATGCTGGCGTGCGGATCAGACGGTCGTGGGTTCGCTTCCTGGCGGAGTGAGACTATTTTTAAAAATGACTCCCAGATCGACCCAGACTTGAATAGGTCGGAAATTATAGGTGGCCGGAGTGATGCTGACCATATCATCCAACTTGGGATGTTTGGTCTATAAAAATATAGGTCTAACCCTTTATGCCCTATAAGCCTAAAGGCGTGGAAAAGGGACCATTACTTTGCTTTTTTTTAAATAACTCACCTGGGAGATTACACAGCTGGATAATTAGAACGAGAAGAATTTCCGGGAAGCAATGATAGTTGTGTCCAATCAAATGTCTTGTCATCTTCAGATTCTGTTCAGGAAAATTGTGACGATTGATTGATAGGGGTGGGCAATGACATTGTGAACACGTTTAGATTTAGTTTTAAACAACGAATCAACATCACGGAACAAGGGTAGTAACCCATAAGTGTTTCCCTCTACTTCTAACTCAAGTCTGAGTCCGAAAAACAATAACGCAGTGCACAAACTCTGTTGCAATGGTGAGGATCCTGAAATACTTTGGGTAGGTTTTTAACTCCAAATTTTACTCGGGCTGCGCCGTTAAGCAAATATTTTTTGATTTTCAACTGCCAAGCGATTTTTTTAAGTGAGCAACAATGCCTACGGGCGTCCAATCTGACTACCCGGAGGCCAGGGGAGATTACTAGAAGTCCATGTGAAAAAATATCAGCCTTTACTGGGGCCTGAATCCGGGACCTCCAGCACTCTAGGCAGACGTCATGCGTCGAACCCACTCAGCCTCCTTATTTGCAAACATGGAAAACAATCTATGCTCCCACAGTCTGATATAGTCAATAAAAAACGTAAGCAGTATAAGAAGCCGAAAGTAATTGACAAGCAACTACATGTAGCTTTAAGTACAATGGAGACGATAAACCGCTGAGTCCTCCGGTCATCATCATTAGGTGCTTTGCCGAGATCCTGTGCGATCATGCGTGTCCAAAATCTGCCAACCGCGGTTGCATGCATCAGTTCGTATGTTCAAAGTTCCCCATGCCATGACAAATGTCTGTCAAGAATCTTCTCACGATGTCTTCCTCTGTCTCTCTTTCCACAGATCTTTCCAGTGGTCACAACATGTTCCATTTTCCCTCTTCTCATAACATTGCCCAAAAAATGATGACTGTCTCCTTCTGATGTTTGTAATAAATTGTCTCTGAGCTTTCACCTCTTTCAAAATATCTGGGTTGTTCTGTTTAGCTGTTCAATGAATTCTAATCATTCTTCTGTGAAACCACATCTCCGAGGACTCCAGAAATCGTGTTGCTTGTTTATTAATGTTCCAGGATTCACAGCCAATTTTTAAAACCGTCTCTGTATAGGTTAGTTGCGTATCCTTTACAGGACCTTGCAGAACCAACCCCATCAGCCCCTGGTTGTGCGTGGTTTTTCTAGGCAAATTTACGTCCAGTAGTTTGCCAGTGCTTACTGGACGGTCGGCTTTCTTGATACCGCTGTCGAAACCAAAGCAAGGCGTATAGCCCGCAGCAGGGATCGAACCCGGCATCCTGTCATTACGAAGCGTTCGCATTGACTTAGCCACAGAGCCGACTCCGTCTCTGTATAGCATGCAATAATTCTGTTCCTAACATACAATGACTTGGATTCATTGCATGCAATGTTTTTAATTTTGTAAATTGCAGTTTTTGCCTTTTTTAAAATTGTTCTCTATCTTTGTGATACATCATCCGTCAGATGTTATCCATGTGCCTGGATACTTGAATTTCTGCACTTGTCCTAAAATAAGGCTTTTGGCTTCTAGTATCAATTTTAAACTATTCATTTCTTGGAAATCACCAATACTTCTGTCTTCTCATTATTCAGACATACCCGCTGCTTCTACATGGACAATAGCATTTATTATGCATTGAATGAACGAACGAACGAACGAATATAATATAATATAATATAATATAATATAATATAATATAATATAATATAATATAATATAATATAATATAATATAATATAATATAATATAATATAATATAATATAATATAATATAATATAATATAATATAATATAATATAATATAATATAATATAATATAATATAATATAATATAATATAATATAATATAATATAATATAATATAATATAATATAATATAATATAATATAATATAATATAAAATAATATATAGTATAGTATAACATAACATCATCATCATCAAGTGCCTTGCCGCCTGGCGTGGCGATCATACTTCTCCAGAATCTGCGATATCAGTTCGTGTGCCAAGAATCTTATCATTCTGTTGCTCTCTGTGTCTCTTTCCACAGATGTTTCCAATGGGCACATGTTCCATTTTCCTTCTTCTCACAATATGGCCAAAAAATCTGACATTTGTGATAAATTGTCTTCGAGCACTCGCCTCTTTTAAAACATCTGGGTTGCTCTTATTTGCTGTCCAAGGAAATATAATCATTCTTCTGTAAAACCGCAACTCTAAGGCCTCAAGATATTGTTCGCCTTTTTAATTAATTGCTCGCCAGGCTCTATAGCGTAGTTGGCTATACCGGATTGCGCGGAGACCGGGTGGCGAACTCCTTGTGGTCTGGATTCAATCCCCGGGGTAGGCAGAAAAGCCACATTTATCCCAGATTTACGGTATTTACAATGGAATCAAGGCCGAAATGTTGCGATATCCATAATAGGGAGCCTAAGGGTTAACAACTCATGGCTTCTGGATACTAAAACAAACAACATTAATTGCTCAGGCTTCACAGCCGTATGTCAAAACTGGCTCTGTATAGCATCGAGAATTCATTTCCCAACCTCAAATGACATTAATTTATTGCACAAACTGTTCTTCATTTTGCAATAATGCAGATAATATAATATAACAGAAAAGTAATTCAATGCTAAAAAATTATAATATAATACAAAATAATATTTTTCTATACAATTCTTACTTGAAAACACCCAATATCACAAGACAGCGTGACACGCGAGTTATCCAAGTTTCTCAGAAATCATTAAACTAGCCGCACAGATGTTTAATGTGACACCTGCATTCAGCCCACAAGCTTAGAAATGCGTGACGCCATTAACTGAACCTTTGATGTATTTTCCCGGTGATTTATCTGTCACCTTTGAAAACAACAGGGAAACATCTAAAAATCTGGAGACAAACTAGACAACTCGAACACTTACAGTCTGAAGGCACATCCATTTTTAAGTGTCTGTTACGAAGTGCGTTGAACCCAGTGTGATTACAGCTTTGACTGTTTATATTGTCTGAAGTTTTTTTCCCCCCTCTAAATTTCACCCCTTTCCCTATTTTCTAAAAAATGTCCGGTAACACCTTCGAATGTATTTCTGTAGGCACCCGTCTGTTTCAAAATCACGGATAGCACCAAGTAGCGTGTGTGGTTGCCGGGGTTACCCCGGAAGCGCGTTACCGGCTCAGGGACTGTGGGTAAAGCCATGGCGGATTTGATTGACGCTAATGTCACCTGGTTGTTACCGGATGGCGATTGACTAGGCTTAGCTTGCAGGTAGCAGGTGGAGGACGGCTGGATGGTGGATTAGCTGGTGGAGGTGTGTTGATGTCGTCGTTAGTAAACAGTGGTATAAGGGTGGAGGGACCAGAAAGTTAAAATCCGAGAGGGCCCCACAACGAGACACAAAGTGCCACCATTCAAATGATATTTACGCAGACAGCAAGTCCCAGAAATCCCACGTTAGATTATATTAGGACCCCCCGACAACAGCCGGAGTAGGGCTTTGACATTGGGACGCCGTGGTTTGTAGTGCCTTATGCTTAAGTAGTTAGGTAAGCTGTAGCCCACCATGACATCACACAAGCGATAAACACCCGGTGAAATAAGGTGCCACTAAGCGGATCAGGATCACCCATAGAGAGGTCTCTGAAACCCCGTCCAACCGTTAGGTCATATTTATGGCCTGGTTATATTAAGTATAGTGCTATATTTTCATTGAACACATTATACGTATAAATTTTGTGTGTGTGTGTGTGTGTGTGTGTTATATACAGATATATAATGATTCTCCTACCTCAATGAACGATGTTAAAAATGTAATAACTCAGTTTCAAAAATCATGATGTAATACTCCAACATGGACTGAAATGTAAACGTGTGACTTAACGTAGCCTCAAACAAACTGATCTATGACTTGACGTAGCCTCAAACAAACTGATGTATGACTTAACGTAACCTGAAATAAACTGATCTATGACTTAACGTAACCTGAAACAAACTGATCTATGACTTAACGTAACCTGAAACAAACTGATCTATGACTAAACGTAACCTGAAACAATTTGATCTATGACTTAACGTAACCTGAAACAATTTGATCTATGACTTAACGTAACCTGAAACAAACTGATTTTTGACTTCACACCTCGAAGCAATACTCACCTAAACCTACTTCTCCCTAAAGACCTACTGCTTCATAATGACCCACTGCTCCATAATGACCCACTGCTTCATAATGACCCACTGCTCCATAATGACCCACTGCTTCATAATGACCCACTGCTCCATAATGACCCACTGCTCCATAATGACCCACTGCTCCATAATGACCCACTGCTCCATAATGACCTACTGCTCCCTGC